ACTTTAATGATAGTAAGCAGGTGGGCATAAATAAACTACATGTAGTCATTTACAACGGTTTGTGCTAATTTAGAAAAAGAACAGAGCATCGTTAATCTGAACAAAAATCACTACACCCTGTATAATTTCAATAATAAACTTCATAAATGAAAGTTTAAGTAATAAATGAATAACTAAATTTAGCATTTATCCATTACAACTGAATAAACAAGTAGTTTGAATACATGCAAGGTGTTTTACAACAAAAACAAAACAACATTCATATCGACACGATCAATGTCATGTTAAACACGATTGTTGCTTCTTCTTACCTAGTAACGGGTGCTGTTCGGTGCCGCTCTGCTGCGTGTTGCCCGGTGGTGTGGATGTGCCTGGTGGCATAGATGTACTCTGTGGTGTAGATGTACTTGGAGCTGGTGTGGTCGGGAAGGGTCAGAAGCGGGAGGATTGGACAGTCAAAAGCAGAATCTGGCAAACCTTCATGTTCAGTGGGACTTTCTGCATCAAAATAAGAGTGGAAAAACAGCAACAGAGTACAGTTAGCAATGATGCTAACTAATGACGACGTAACCGCGTCTGCCTCGTTTGTTCAGAGTACTTTCAGAAAACGCAAAGAAACGGTTGCATGAGGAAAAGGAAATATGCTTAAAGTAAATAAAATACACTCACCATCAACTATTAGTTTTTTAAGCTTTCCTCTTTGCTTTGGTGTGCGATGGAAGCCCTGCACCGCCATCTGCGCAGACACCTCTTGAAAAATCTTTTTATTTCGTTTCGTTCCATCTAGCTCGCGCTGCACTTGTTCATCGGCCAGCAAACAGAGAAATGCCTGAACTTCAGCATTCGACCACGGTTGTGCCATGATTATTTGTTTTACCTTATAAAATATTCCAAAATAAGCTCCTCCGATTTCTTGTTGTCTGTTATGCGGGTGAAAAAGAAAATGGTGGATTGTGATTTCCGGTGGAAGACTGAATCTCCGCCCTCCACCAATGAATACGCCCCCTGACCAATCAGTGACCTACAGTGCGCTGATGTCACAACTAGACCCTAAAAGAACCAGACCTGGGACCTCAGTGATTTAGGTCCCAAAAATGGGGTGGGTTCCACCGTTAAAGGCATTGTTGATAAATCCTGCAATCGGCCACAACTAGTTACATAGGAGTACCAAAAAGACCCGTGGATAAGGGGCTATAGACTTCAGAAGACCACCTGTTTATTTCCAGAGGTTATAAAGGTGCTGCAGATAACAGGACCCCAAATTCTGTCTGTGCTGAAGCCATGAGTGTGCATTATAACGTTGAAGAGGCTGTAAAGCTGATTTTCTCAGATGTCCAGCAAGACAACTCTGATTCAGAAGAGGAAGTGGAGGATGTATCCGAAAAAGAAGATGGGGAGGAATACAACCCAGAGCATGATGAATCATCTTCAGAAGTAGAAGAAAACCCTGAAGCCGAAAGAGAGACTTTCCTTTCAAAAAAATGGCAAAATAACATGGTCCTCAGCAGCATATAACCAACATGGCAGGCACGCAGAACAAAACGTCATAAAGATGACCCCAGGACCCACAAGGTATGCCGTTTCTCATGCCCATGACATTGTCTCTACATTCTACCAGTTTATCACACCAGCAATAAAAATAATAATCCTGGAGATGACAAATCTGGAGGGTTTTCGCAAATATGGAGACAGCTGGAAAAAGATGGATGAGATTGACCTGCAGGCCTACTTAGGGCTGCTAATCTTAGCAAGTGTATACAGGTCCCGAGGTGAGGCTGCAGCTAGTCTATGGGATGTAGCGAGTGGAAAGACAATTTTCCGAGCCGTAATGCCACTCAAACTCTTTCACACCTACTCAAGACTGCTACGATTTGATGATCGTGAGTCAAGACCAGCAAGACATGTGACAGACAAACTTGCAGCCATAAGAGGTATGGGACAAGTGGGTGGAGCGGCTGCCCTACCTCTACAATCCAGGGCCTGATGTAACAGTGGATGAGCAACTGGTTCCATTTAGAAGTAATCTGTTTTCATATTTGTAATAAAGTGATTTTCACTATTGATTTCTTTGACTGTTTTCTGTGACAGTGATACTAATAACTGATGCTAATGTTTTTTTGCCCAAAGGTCGTTGTAATTCCGTTTTTTCAAATGTGATGCTATTTTTTCAAATGTAAGTCTGTTTTTTCTAAAGCGATTTGGCCCACTTCCGTTTCGGCCACTTCCGCTTTGGCTTAATGTAATTCCGTTTTTTCAAATGCAATTCTGTTTTTTCTAATGCGATTCTGGCCACTTCCGTTTTAGCTTAATGTAATTCTGTTTTTTTCAAATGTTGTTGTCGTTTACATTTGCCTTATAATCTAGCTGTTTTTGTTACTTTTCTTTTTTTAGCCATCCTATTTGTAAAAATAAAAAATCTGTATGCCTTTTTATAACTGTCTATTGTTGTCGCTGTTGTCCATTGTTTTTCATCATTCTTTGTTGAAATCAGGTCTCTCTTGTAAATGAGTCCTCGAGGCTCAATGGGATCTACCCGTCTAAATAAAGGTTGAATGAAAAATGTTGTGATTTTGTCGTTTTTGTTGTGTTTTTTCAAATGTAATTCCGTTTTTTCAAATGTTATTCATTTACACCTTAGGGCCACCGTAAAGAACCAATGCAGACACGTTCCTGTTTTTAGCTTTCTACACCGCCTTATAATCTAGCCGTTTTGTCACTACTTTTTTTTCTCCTTTTAATTATCCTTTTGTTTTCAATTGTAAATTAAAAAAAAATCCCATATTGGCTGAGATATGATCGTTTTCATTCATTCTGACTGAAAATATTGAACACTACCATTTTCAGTTGCTAGATGGCATTCGAGTACTTTGGCATGCCGTTGTGTAATGTAATACATAAAAGTGGCTATTAATGACACAATCAGCTTGCCATATACTACCTTTGTTTAGCTCGTCTAGAGTAATCGTCAAATCGTCTTAATTGAGCTGCACCACCCCAGCGAAATGCAGCTGATTTGACCATTGAAGTGCATTTATTAAGTAAAAGTTCAACTGAGACATACTTTTGGTATAATGTAGAGCAAATAAATAATTGAAATTTAACAAGATAAGTATCAAAAACAAAAGAAATACACAGCGTTCCTCCTTCCTGATTTCCTCCCTGTGCGCGCTACTGGAGCACCGAGGCAGCAAATACTTTTGAAATGCAGCTAATTTGACGATTGAAGTGCATTTATTAAGTAAAAGTTCAACTGAGACACACCTTTACTATAATGTCGAGCAAACAAAATTATTTTTAGGTGGTTATCTTGTTAAATTACGAAGAAATGCACAGCGACTCATCCCTCTGCTTATTCCTGTATCGGGTTTTGAAATGCAGCTAATTTGACCGTCAAAGTGAACTTATTAAGTAAAAAAGTTAGACTGAGACACATCTTTACTATAATTTTGAGCAAACAAATAATTGTTTTTGAGTATTAATCTTGTTAAATTCTTGTTAAAGTCCACCCGTGCATGCTCTTGCGGCCGCCTTTTGGCAGCCAATCAATTTTTGGCACAACACCGGCCCACATCTCTGGGTTGTCGGTGGTGACGCTTAACAAACGCAACGCGTCAGCGGTGACACATAATAGATGCGACTTATAAGGTGAAGCAACGCATTTATGGATTTTTCCACTTTATTAGACATATTTGGACTGTTGCGATTTATAGGGCAGTGCAACGTGTACGGTGGAAAATATGGTACTATCCCTACTTCGCGGCTTTTCACTTATCACGGGGGGCCTGGAACTTACACTCGAGATAAACAAGGGACTACTGTATTTGAAGTTCTTCAGAGTACAAGACAATTTTCAAAAATGTTCTTTGACGCCAGAGTGAAAATAAAAATGAAAGGGAAATAGTGCAACAGCTCAGATTTAGAGACCTGGAAAAGGCTAACAGCTTTGATTATTAAGCTAATCTGATTTTTTTTACAACACTTAGCAGATTATTTCACTTATCAGCTGATCCAGAACACTGTTGCTTGAATCCTCACAAAGACTGAGAGAGTTGATCACATCAGTCCAGTGCTGAGGACTTTGCACTGACCTCCTGTTGCTCAGAGAATTGATTTCAACATCTTGTAACTGGTCTGCAAAGCACTGAATGGTTTGGGTCTAAAACACAACCCCGATCTTCTGCTGAACTACAAACCATCGAGACCTCTAAGGTTGTGTGATTTAAATCGGTCTTATTGTCTTCAGAGTCAGAACCAACAAGAAGATGCTGCGTTCATTTTTTATACACTAAATATCTGGAAACTGCCAGCCTGCTCTGACAGAGTTCCTTTGAACAAGGCTCAAGACCGTCCTGTTTGCTTCAGTGTTTGAATAAGGCAAATAATTATGTTATGCTATATTATATCTGAAATTTCTATACAAGTTTGTTTTTTTGCACTTTGTCACAATGTAAAGCAGTTTATTGTTGCTCTGTCGTTGAAATGTACAATACTAGTACTACAGTACTATACAAATGTAGCTGCCATGCCTAATTCGTAGCACCTTTACAGCCTTTTGTTGCCCCCTTCAACATTTAAGATGTGCTGCTGCTATAAAACGTAAACATACCTAATTTCTCCCAAGAAAAGGGTGCAATGTCTTAGTTTAAACATTTTATATGTTATCTATGCTCCATTGTGAGTAAAAAAAGAAAAGTTGCAAATCATAGCATATTGTTTTTTTTTAATTTACATAACATTCCAACTTTTAGAATTGAAGATGTATTTAATGACATTTTTATGCAGAAACATCTGAAAAAAAAAAATCAAAGAAATCTTGTACAATATTAGTTTAGTTGACTAATGTTAGATGTTCTGTATAAATCAAGATGAAGAGTTCAAATGCAAATTACAACTTTAGTTTGCTTTAGTCTTAACTATAAGGATTGACATGTAAGGACAAACAAGTAAGAAACTTTTTAGCTGAGAGCAGAAAACAGCAGCTGCAGGTAAATACAACTTACCTCTACAAAGAGTCCAAATCTTCCAGATGTGGGCAACATGCCCGGAAGGTACTGATTAAGGAAATCGACTAGTTTACTGTCATAACCCCACAGCAACTCTCCCACTGTCTTGGTCAGGAAGGGGCCTTCACTGAAGGTCTTGAAGGTGGCGCTGACCAGTAAACGCAATGCGTAGGGCATGTCCTGCAACATCACAGCTGCACCCTGAAAGCAGAGATTGGAGTGGACCAAAAAAACAAAACAAAAAAAAAAACATACAACGGAAAGACTGAACCAAATAGTAAAATGTGGACCGAGAGGAGATAAAAAGCTCCTTACCAGAACCAGCATGTTTGGAATAGTGACGATATCCGACTCGTTCCCAACAGACATGGAGCGGTCAAAGTAGTAACTTCTGTATTCTATGTAGGACACCGTCCCGTTGGGGTGAAACGTGATATTTTCCTTCTGAAACCGCTTTCTAAAAAACACAATTATTCGAAAACTAACTTCAAAACAACGAGAGACTCAGGGTTATGGTTTACTAATTTATGATAGAACTTGACTGTAATTTAGTTCAGATTTATCGTTTTTGTACCATTCCCTCCCCCACCCCCCGTTTCCTACTGCTTACAGCAAACATTAAGATATAATTGTGTAGATTACATAAACATTTTATCCATTAAAAATATCTACAAAACAGATTAATGGTAAATTAAATTCATGGGGCAACTAATACCATACCATACCATTTTATTTATAGAGCACTTAAAACATATAAAAGGCCAACTAAAGTGCTGTACAGACAGAACAACAGACAACGCACGAAGCAATATACAAAATGAAGTAAATCAAAAATATAGACATAAAAACGAGGCAGATAATAAATATGACGACAAACTAGTGTGGAGCGTACAGGTTCAAAACACAGATCCTCTGGTGTTGAAAGCTACTGAATAGTAGTGAGTTTTTAAACGGGATTTGAAAATTGAGAGGGAGGGGGCCAGTCTGACAAGCAGAGGTAACTCGTTTCAAAGTCTTGGTCCTGCTACAGTGAAGGCCCTGTCCCCTCTGCGCTTAAGAGGAGTTCCTGGAACTGTGAGGAACATTTGGTCCGCTGACCTCAGGGAACGTGGTGGGACATACGGTTGTAGCAAATCAGAGATGGGGGGGGGGGACTGTTTCAGCGATTTATAGACATACAGGAGTATTTTGAATTGGATTCGAAGGTGAACCGGTAGCAGTGAGGCCCAAAACTGGTGTAATGTGCTCTCTTTTGCCTGTACTGGTTAAAAATCGGGCTGCTGCATTCTGGACCAGTTGTAGTCGTGCATTGGAGGTCTGAATGATACCAAACAGGAGTGAATTGCAGTAATCAAGCCTAGATGTAATGAATGCATGTATTACTGTCTCCAGATTATTTTTGGACAATATAGGCTTCAGTTTAGACAGCCGCCTCAGTTGGAAGAAACATGATTTAACAATCATGTTTACATGATTGTTAAGTTTCAGGGAAGGGTCCAATATCAGACCCAGATTAGTGACTCTGTTTTTCTGACAGGGTTAGAGTGGAAAGGTCAATGCAGTGGTTTGTGATCGAGTCATTGGGAGGGAACAACATGACTGCAGACTTCTTTTCATTGAAACTTAAGAAGTTTAAAGCCATCCAGTCCCTGATGTCAGCCAGGCAGTCGAGCAGAGGTTGAATAGAGCATGTACCATTGTGTCTTTGGGGGAAGTAAATTTGACAGTCGTCAGAGTAGAAGTGAAAGAGTATGTTGTGTTTCTGGAAAATAGTACCAAGTGGCAGCAGGTATAGAGAGAATAGGAGGGGACCCAGGATGGACCCCTGCGGAACCCCCAATTTAAGCTCTGTCGCTGCAGAACTAAAATCCTTGATGGAGACACAAAAGGATCTGTCAGCAAGGTATGATCTGAACCAACTGAGGGCTGACCCTGTGTTGTCCACTCACTGCTCCAACCTAGCAATGAGGATCTCATGGTCAATGGTGTCAAAGGCAGCTGTGAGGTCCAATAGGACAAGCAGCACAGAATCACCAGTATCTGTGGATCTGAAGATGTCATTAAAAACCTTCAATAGGGCAGTTTCAGTGCTGTGGAGAGGTTTAAAGCCAGATTGGAATAGCTCTAAGATGGCATGATCCTCCAGGAAGCACTTCAACTGGGACTCAACTATTTTCTCAAGTATTTTAGAAACAAATGGGAGTCTGAAGACAGGCCGGAAGTTGAAAACGACTGAGGGGTCAAGGTTTGTTTTTTTCAGGAGAGGCTGGACAGCAGCATGTTTAAAGGTTTTTGGCACCACGCCAGTGGATAAACTACTGTTTACTATAGAAAGAATGGATGGACCTAAAGTAAAACCTCCTTTGGTAGTCGAGGGGGAACCACATCAAAGGGGGAACCAGAAGGTTTCAAGCTGCACATGACCTGCTGTAGAGAAGATAGAGTGATGGGTTCAAAATGGTCAAATAGAGCTACAGATTGAAGTGGGATGGATGGATCATGAGCTGGAGGGAAAATGAGAGCCCGGGTGGTCGCAATTTATTCCAAAAAGAAATGCAAGAAGTTCTCGCACAGCTCAGTCGAGGCTTCCAGAGGTGATGGTTCAGTGAGGTGGAGAACAGAGTTTAGGGTAGAGAAGAGGACACGTGAATTGTGAGAGTTTGAGGTTATGATATCAGAAAAGTATTTGGATTTAGCAGCTTTTACTGCTTTCTGACAATGGCATTTACTCTATGTATTTGAAAAGAGACCTGCAGCCTGTCTTTCCTCCATTTGCGCTCCACCCTCCTACATTGCTGCCTAACAGCCTTGGTGACGTCACTCAGCCAAGGTTCTGCTCTGAGTTTTGATTTTCTAGTTTTAACCGGAGCGACATGATCTAGAGTCTTTAAGCAGACAGAGTTGAACTGGGATGTCAGCACATCCGTGGTGGTGAGAAACACCGGGGGCTGAATGATCATTTCAGAGTTATAAGTATCTGTGAAACGTGCGGCAGTGAAGTGGTTAATGGCCCGGCTACTACGTGCAGGAATGCACGGCTTAGGAGTTAGATGGGGGAGGGTCAAACCAGACTGGCATGTGGTCTGAAAAAACATTATCACCAATTTCAAGATTATTAAGTCACATCACGTTTTAAAACAAGGTCCAGTGTATGTCCGCGCTCTTGCGTGGGACCGTTTACATGCTGAGTTAGATTAAATGAGTCCAATAAATCTAAAAAAATCCTTAACCAAGGGCTTCTCCTGACAGCACACATGGAAATTAAAGTCCCCAATAATGAAAACATGATCATATTTTGGTGTGATTTCAGCCAAGAAATCAGAAAACTCATTTATGAAATCCTTAGACCGAGGTGGGCGGTAGACAAGCGCACATAACGTCGAAGGTGAATGGCTGAGTTCAAAGATGCTCAGCTCAAAGCTGGCGCGGGAAACTGGGATGGGCAGTTGTTTACAGTCAAAAGTTGGTTTGAATATTGTTAATAATCTACCACCGCACCGGCCTGATGGCCGCGGTGCGTGAAAATACAGACAGTTCGGTGGCAATAATTCCGTCAAGGCACTGGACGCACCCAGAGACATCAAAGTCTCTGTGATGCAGAAAAAGTCCAAATCATGCTATTGAAAGTAGTCCCTAAGGATAAAAGTTTTGTTGGTAATAGATCTTGCGTTGACCAAACACATCCGGATACTGTCCAAAGTGGATCCAGCAGCGGCCGACAACTCCCGTTGTTTATCTGGTCCGGGCATGCGGGAAGCTGGCGATTGAAACCATGACCACCAGTTGAAGATGCAGCGCGCAGGGCTTTAGGCTTTACCAGCCGCCCAGCACGTTTTCCCCGGCATCTGTAGCGATGTCTCCGGCCAGGGGGGTGAGGAGCGCAGCGAAGGTAAACAGGCACGTTTGCCAGCAGGTGGGTAGGAGGGTGTGTGTGTGTGTGTGGGCTTGGACTAGTGGCCGGAGGGGAAGCGCTTTTTTTGTCTAAATAGGGTATATTGGCGGCAGAAAAACAAAGATCCAGAAGCTGTTGTTGGTCATCACCCAGCAGCAAGTTAAGGTCCCAGATAAAAAAAAAAACACAAATAATCTGAACACCATCAGCAGAGGTGGATTGCAAGCCATGTACACGGGCACAATCTTACCAGAAGTCTGTTAATGAAAGTAGCCCCTGGGGTTTGAATGAGAGACACACCAAGACCAATTAGAGAAATTGTATTTCCTGCCAAAATGTAGTGTGAATGCTTGTTGCTGAAGAATTTGCCAAACAATCAGCTGAAATTACCTAAAAACATGCTGAAATGTAGCTGAAATGGAACAATAAGCCTAAGTTAGCAGAAGAAAGCAGAAAGAAAGCACATTTGCCTAATTAGGTTTAAATAAGCAGAAATTAGCAACAATGAAGTTAGGAAATTAGCTAAAAAAGTTTAAATTAACAATTACAAAATTAACAACAAGTGGGAGTGGTGGCGCAGAGGTTAGAAGATGGGCCTGTGATCAGAAAATCGCAGATTCAACCCCTAGTACTCCATCCATCCATCCATCCATTATCTTTACCCGTTTATTCCATTTTGGGTCACGGGGGTCGCTGGTGCCCATGTCCAGCAATCACTGTGCGAGGGGCGGGGTACACCCTGGACAGGTCGCAAGTCCATCACAGGGCCACATAGAGACAAACAACCATTCACTCTCCCACTCACACCGAGGGACAATTTAGAGTTACCAATCAGCCTAACATGCATGTTTTTGGTCTGTGGGAGGAAACCTGAGTATCCGGAGAAAACCCACGCATGCACGGAGAGAACATGCAAACTCCACCCAGAAGGCCCCTGGACCGGGGTTTGAACCAGGGACCTGTTCGCTGAGAGGCAGCAGCTCTACCAGTTGCGTCACCGTGCTGCCCCAACTCCTAGTACTATCAACACCAAAATGTGGGTGGAAAAGGTGAAACACTCACAGCTGCCCCCACCCTCATTTGCCCCACTCTGGGCCCCTGAGCAAGGCCCTTAACCACGATCTGCTCCCTAAACAGGCCTCTCTTGAAAGCGAGTTCTCGTGGCTCAATGAGACTACCTGTATAAATAAAAGGGTAAATGAAAAAAAAAAAAAAGATAAATAAATGAACAAAAAAAGTAGATGAAAAGGCAGAATGAAGCCTAAACTACCAGAAGGAAGCAGAAGGAGCTGAAATGAGCAAAAAAAAAAAAAAAGTGGAATTAGCTGAAAAAGTAAAATTTTGCTCATAACAGCTAAATAGTAGCTGAAATAGGAGAAAATGCTGAAAATAGCAAAAATAAGTTGCAAGGAGCATAACAAGCTGAAATTAGCAGAAAGAAGTTAACTAGGCTGAAAGCAGCTGATTATCACAATAAACTTGAATTTTTCTGAAAACTGCTGAAATTAGCTAAAAAAATTGCTAAAACTTTAGCAGAAAATGTTGAACAAGCTTAAATTAGCAGAAGTAGAGAGCACGATTTTGCCCAATTAGGCTGAAAGAAGCAGAAATGAGCACAAAAAAAGGTTAAAATTATTTGGAAAAAGTTTAAATTAGCAAAAAGCAGCTTAAAAGTAGCTAAAAAGGCAGAAAGAAGCTTAAATTACCAGAAGGAAGTGGAGAGAGCACATATTTGCTGAATTAAGCTGAAAAATCTTGAAATGAGTGCAAATAATGTGGAATAAGCTGAAAAAACTAAAATGAGTATAAAAAAACTATATAGTAGCTGAAATAGCAGATAAAGTTGAAACTTGTAGAAATAAGCTGAAAGGAGCATAACAAGCTGAAATTAGCAGAAAGAAGTTGGAAGAAGCACAAACATAGTTAAAAAGAATATGAAAGGACCAAACAGCTGAAAAAACAGCTGAAATTTGCTGAAAGTAGCTGAGAAAAAGTTTAAATTTGCCCAAGGAAGCTGAAAGAAGCTAAAGCAGAACAAAATGTGAAAGGAGCAGTAAAAGGTTGTAAACACATCTAAAGATGTGAAGGATGGAAAATGAGCTCAGTTCATTTTCTATGAGACAAAAATGGCAGAAAAGGCTAAATATTTAAAAAAGCTAAAGTTGCACCAATACCGAAAGTCAAAGCAGGATCGTCCTGAAAGAGCTGAATGTTTTGATTTATAATTTGGTGAAATAGCACAAAAACCGTGGAACAAGAAAGATGATGAAAAACGTGTAGAAGAAAAAAAGGAATAGTGAGAATGATTCACAAATTCACAAAAAATATTGTTTTGTCTGGAATGGAACGTCTTCCTCCGCAAAACTGAGCTTGTCAAAGTGAAATTTAAGACGGTGTAAATCCACAGATTAGAGTCGTAGTGTTTATGGGTGACAAAGTTCTGTAGAACTGCTGCCATGTCACTGGTGACAAAACATGAGGAAACTAGTGTTTCTTTTATTTTCAAAAGCAGAGGTAGAAAAAATAATTATACTTTGGTTTAGCTTCTGTCTGTTTTAAGTCAAAATTATTTGAATTTCTAATGTTTATCTATCTGAGTTTTACCATAATTCAACAAATTGGGTCCACTGACATCTGAAAAATCGAAGTCATGCAATTACGTCAAATGTTTTCTGATTCATGCAGACACAGGAAGTAAGTCGCTTCAGTCAGCTAAAGTCTAGGCCACACAAGGAACTATCATTCAGCTGAAAGAGGTGCAAACCTAACACGATCATTTTGAAACAAGCTGTTATGAAGTCTTGGATCAAAACCATTACCTCATAAACCACACACTAAAATCTGTCAACTAATCAAATTTATGAATTTCCTAACTTACACCAATGTGGCATACCACATATGTTAAACATATAGGGCGTTAGCATCCAGCTACAGTACAGCCGTAAGTTTAATACCACACATATCAAATGAGCATTGGTAAACAAAGATAAAATAGCAAAAATATATCTCCACTTTTTAAATGAGCCCCTTCCAACCAGCCTGAACATCTTTTCACACACCAATCAATATTTCAGGGAGGAAGTTTTGTTTGACAAAAAGCGGGGTAACACAGAAATGCTTTGCAGAACTCAATCACATGCTCATGTTTAAGGGAAATAAATGCAAGGCAGCAAACCTACAGTCAGCCATGAGTTGAACCCTGTTCTGACTGTGGTGCCTGAGTTGTGTACCTGTACACGTAGGGCCCTCTCTCCTCCACCATTGGCTTCTCTCCATTCAGGACCTCCTGAGGGTTCAGGACGTTGAAGAAGTAGACTGACATGAAGAAGGGCACTGGGAGGTCCTTCCACATGGAGTAGGAGAGCTCATTGCTGGGACTGATTATTGTGTTCTAACATGAAAGATAAAGGAAAACGTTTTATTACGTGTAATTTTTTTACAATAAAAATTACAGCAAATGTTAACTTTTTCCTTCTTCAAACTACACATTTAAATACTGAGCAATTAATGACAGTTGCAATTTGCATTTATTGATTTATTGCTCTCAGTTTTTGCATAAACAACAAGAATCGTATCTGTGCAATGAAAGAGTTTCAATGAAGTGAAGAGTTTAGACTTAACTATTTTCTCCTACATTGTGGTACCATAATTCATTTACTTTTTTCTTTCAGCTGCTCCCTTCCTCAGGGGTCACCGAAGCAAACCAACTCACAGGAAGACTTGGCGATTGTTTTTTACGCTGGATGTCCTTCCCGACATAACCACAGACCATGAGCTACCACAGCCCTCTGCGTGAAGCAGAGAGCTGCCATCTAGGCCACCCAGGTGTGGTGCTTCACCTTTTCCACTCGCATTTTGATGTTGTCGGTACTGGGGAGTCAAACCGGCAACCTTCCGATCAAATGCTCACCTTCTCCAACCTCTGCGCCACCACTCGCCCTTATTATGGTATCATAATAATGCAAAACAATAATAATAAAAAATAAATAAAAACAGTCAAATGCAAATCCATAATTGGTACTTCTCACTGAGGACAACTCTGCAGACAACTCTGTGGATTAAGGTCCATCCCCTCTCAAGGAGATTGGGTTACAGAACCCACACTGTGTGTCGAGGTGAGCTCGGCTAGATCTAGTAAATACCGCTCAGCCTCATACACAAACTCAGGCTCCTTCCACACCAGAGAGGTGGCCTTCCGTGTCCTAAGAGCTAGCTTTGGTAAGCCAGAGCCAGAGCGGCAAGGCCCCACATCTTCAGCTACCACCCACAGCACTTTCCAGCTGACCAGTATTACCCATCCTGCTGGTGGTGGGTGCACAGGAAGGTGGACTTATGTAGCTTTAGGGTGAGGACCTGGAAACCAATGTCCAGGTAAAGGACATCAAGCTCCTTGTTTTTTCTCGTCCATACAAGTATTGTGAAAGGCTCTTTATCTGGCCAGTCACTTAACCAATCTGCTTTGAGAGACGCTTCCAGAGGCGACTCCCCCAACAGCATAGGTCCTAGGATCATTCAGATGTACAAACACCTTCACCAAGATAAGGGCAATAAAGAATTCATCCATCCATCCATCCATTTTCTTCCGCTTATCCGGGGTCAGGTCGCGGGGGTAGCAGCCTAAGTAGGGAGGCCCAGACTTCCCTCTCCCCAGCCACTTGGGCCAGCTCTTCCAGGGGAATCCCGAGGCGTTCCCAGGCCAGCTGAGAAACATAGTCCCTCCAGCATGTCCTGGGTCTTCCTCTGGGCCTCCATCCGGTGGGACGTGTCCGGAACACCTCACCAGGGAGGCGTCCAGAAGGCATTCTAAACAGATGCCCAAGCCACCTCAACTGGCTCCTCTCGACGTGGAGAAGCAGCGGCTCTACTCTGAGTCCCTCCCGGATGATCGAGCTTCTCACCCTGTCTCTAAGGGAGAGCCCAGACACCCTGCGGAGAAAACTCATTTCGGCCGCTTGTATCCGAGATCTCATTCTTTCGGTCACAACCCAAAGCTCGTGACCATAGATGAGGGTGGGAACGTAGATCGATCGGTAAATTGAGAGCTTCGCCTTTTGACTCAGCTCTCTCTTCACCACGACAGACCTGTACAGCGCCCGCTTCACTGCAGACGCTGCACCTATCCGCCTATCGATCTCACGCTCCATTTTTCCCTCATTCGTGAACAAGACCCCAAGATACTTGAACTCCTCCACTTGGGGTAGGACCTCCTCCCTGACCCGGAGAGGGCACTCTACCCTTTTCCGGCTCAAGACCATGGCCTCGGATTTGGAGGAACTGATCTTCATCCCGGCCGCGTCGCATTTGGCTGCGAACCGCTCCAGCGAAAGCTGTAGATCACGATCTGATGAAGCCAATAAGACCACATCATCTGCAAAAAACAGAGGCGCAATCCTAAGGCCACCAAAACGGATCCCCCTCAACACCTTGGCTGCACCTAGAAATTCTGTCCATAAAAGTTATGAACAGAATCGGTGACAAAGGGCAACCTTGGCGGAGTCCAACTCTCACCGGGAACAAGCCCGACTTACTGCTGGCGATGCGGACCAGGCTCTGACACCGGTCATCCAGGGACCTAACAGCCCGTATCAAAGGGCCCGGTACCCCATACTCCCAGAGTACCCCCCACAGGGCCCCCCGAGGGACGCGGTCGAACGCCTTCTCCAAGTCCACAAAGCACATGTAGACTGGTTGGGCAAACTCCCACGCACCCTCCAGGACCCTGCTGAGAGTGTAGAGCTGGTCCAGTGTTCCACGGCCAGGACGAAAACCGCACTGCTCCTCCTGAATCCGAGGTTCGACTATCCGACGGACCCTCCTCTCCAGAATAAAGAATTCAAAGAAGTAAAAAGGCTAAGTAGTGATAAGAAATTAGGTAAGTAGTAACATTTTTGGCAAATGTTGGTATTTGTCAAACTGAACAATAGCAAATATGGAGTCTGTGTTGGTTTTGGAAGTGAAGTCAAACACAGTGATTCACATCTTCAAATTTATCTACAAGAATGCAAAATTTGATGTGCATTTTAGAAGATGCACTGATTCTTATATCAAGAAGTCACTTTTATATAGCCAGTGACCTCTGACCCCAACATGTAGAACACTAAATCAGTATCCCTTAATACGAACAAAATAAAATATTTTGATGCAGAAAACTAAATGTCCTTATATTAGAATACTGGGTTTCATGAATTATATGTATTTTTATATACATTTTAATATAAAAGGAGAAGATAATCTTCAGTGGACTGAGTAGTGACTGTGCTGTAATAAATTATTTTTTTCAACATTAAAATATAAAAACAAGTCATTTATTTTATGAACTTTCACATTGCAATATTTTTAAACATCCTACATGATATAAGACACCAGCATAAATTAAAAAAAAAAAAAAGTCTGTTGATGCTTTTGTTGTGCCACCCCGTTTGTCAGGAAAGCCAGTTTCTTATTCTGTTTGAAGATTCAACTTGTCTGCTGCTTCCTTAGATAGAGAACTTTACTAATTGGCTTTTCTATGTACGTTTCTGTAAAAAGCCCTGAGACAACTTTGTTGTGATTTTATATAAATAAACTGAAAAACTGAATTTAATTTGTTTGACACATCTAAATTTCCTCTGATATTTTCTTGTTTGTCTTTCAGTCCTTTTGTACAAACTGCTGTAATGTCAGTGTCACAGCTCAGTTTACAGTTGATCAGAGATAATTTTAATTTTATTGCTCACATTAAAGGGCAGTAACTTAAATACTTAAGTTTACTTAACATTATGTCCTGCACGCGCCTCTTATCGTTTGCTCACGCTGCAGTTTGAAGCCCTTTGAGACTTTACCTTTGACTGAAGTCGAATCAATAAAAAAAAAAATTAAAAACAACGGACTGTAAAGATGTTGCATATAAATGTAGTGACAGAGCTTACCTTAACTACTTGGTCGTTGATTATTATCGGCCCTACGAAAACCAGAACAATGCCGAAAAACGTTGTCAGAACTCCCAGCACGATGAAACCCGCGGACACTCGGGATTTATTCATGGTCATCCTGACAGCTAAACGTGCAACAGCCTTTGTTTGTGTTCACACTGCTCAGCTGGACGACTACACACAGTTAGCTACCTGTCAAAACCTTACAACACCTCAGCACGAGAACAGCTCCATGTTTACACAAAACCTGCTATTTCGCCGGTTTTGATTAAAGTTGTGTTGACCTGTTTCTAATCCGCCCATATTTATAGCATGATGACACGCCTCTCGTGCCGACACGCATTATGGGAAGTGTAGTCTCTACTCGCTGCTTGTGGGAAATTGATAGCGACACAGTACCTGAGTCAGAGAAGTTTTATTGTAATTTCAGCTAGTACAAGTACATATTGAAATGAAACAGTGTTCCCCAGGATCACAGTGCAACACAGAACATAACGTTAAAGCAAAACACACAGAGCAGATACACAACAATAAATACAGATCTATAATAAATGCAAAAAGACGTCTAACCTATATGTATACATACATACATACAT